GTCTTACATACTAAATTCAGACAAATATATGTAAATCTGTCTTACATACTAAATTCACACAAATATATGTAAATCTGTCTTACATACTAAATTCACACAAATATATGTAAATCTTTAGCGCATACTAAATCCACACAAATATATGTAAATCTGTCTCACATACTAAATTCACATGAACATATTTAAATCTATCTTACATACTAAATTCACATGAACATATGTAAATCCGTCTTACATACTAAATTCACATGAACATGTGTAAATCCGTCTTACATACTAAATTCACATGAACATATGTAAATCTGTCTTGCACACTAAATTCACATGAACATATGTAAATCCGTCTTACATACTAAATTCACATGAACATGTGTAAATCCGTCTTACATACTAAATTCACATGAACATATGTAAATCTGTCTTGCACACTAAATTCATACAAATATATGTAAATCTGTCTTACATACTAAATTCACACAAATATATGTAAATCTGTCTTACATACTAAATTCACACATATAAATGTAAATCTGTCTTACATACTAAATTCACACAAATATATGTAAATCTGTTGTACATACTAAATTCACACAAATATATGTAAAGATATGGTACATACTAAATTCACACAAATATATGTAAATCTGTCTTACATACTAAATTCACACAAATGTGTGTAAACCTTTTGCGCATACTAAATCCACACAAGTATATGTAAATCTGTCTCACATACTAAATTCACATGAACATATGTAAATCTATCTTACATACTAAATTCACATGAACATATGTAAATCTGTCTTACATACTAAATTCACATACATATGTGTAAATCTGTCTAACATACTAAATTCACATACATATGTGTAAATCTGTCTTACATACTAAATTCACACAAATATATGTAATATATGTAAATCTGTCTTACATACTAAATTCACACAAATAAATGTAAATCTGTTTTACATACTAAATTCACACAAATATATGTAAATCTGTCTTACATACTAAATTCAGACAAATATATGTAAATATGTCTTACATACTAAATTCACACAAATATATGTAAATCTGTCTTACATACTAAATTCACACAAATAAATGTAAATCCGTCTTACATACTAAATTCACATGAACATGTGTAAATCCGTCTTACATACTAAATTCACATGAACATATGTAAATCTGTCTTGCACACTAAATTCATACAAATATATGTAAATCTGTCTTACATACTAAATTCACACAAATATATGTAAATCTGTCTTACATACTAAATTCACACATATAAATGTAAATCTGTCTTACATACTAAATTCACACAAATAAATGTAAATCTGTTTTACATACTAAATTCACACAAATATATGTAAATCTGTTTTACATACTAAATTCACACAAATATATGTAAATCTGTCTTACATACTAAATTCAGACAAATATATGTAAATATGTCTTACATACTAAATTCACACAAATATATGTAAATCTGTCTTACATAATAAATTCACACAAACATATGTCAATCTGTTACACATACTAAATTCACATACATATGTGTAAATACGTCTTACATACTAAATTCACACAAATATATGTAATATATGTAAATCTGTCTTACATACTAAATTCACACAAATAAATGTAAATCTGTTTTACATACTAAATTCACACAAATATATGTAAATCTGTCTTACATACTAAATTCAGACAAATATATGTAAATCTGTCTTACATACTAAATTCACACAAATATATGTAAATCTGTCTTACATACTAAATTCACACAAATATATGTAAATCTTTTGCGCATACTAAATCCACACAAATATATGTAAATCTGTCTCGCATACTAAAGTCACATGAACATATGTAAATCTATCTTACATACTAAATTCACATGAACATATGTAAATCCGTCTTACATACTAAATTCACATGAACATGTGTAAATCCGTCTTACATACTAAATTCACATGAACATATGTCAATCTGTTACACATACTAAATTCACATACATATGTGTAAATATGTCTTACATACTAAATTCACACAAATATATGTAATATATGTAAATCTGTCTTACATACTAAATTCACACAAATAAATGTAAATCTGTTTTACATACTAAATTCACACAAATATATGTAAATCTGTCTTACATACTAAATTCACACAAATATATGTAAATCTGTCTTACATACTAAATTCACACAAATATATGTAAATCTGTCTTACATACTAAATTCACACATATATATGTAAATCTGTCTTACATACTAAATTCACACAAATATATGTAAATCTGTTGTACATACTAAATTCACACAAATATATGTAAAGATATCGTACATACTAAATTCACACAAATATATGTAAATCTGTCTTACATACTAAATTCACACAAATGTATGTAAACCTTTTGCGCATACTAAATCCACACAAGTATATGTAAATCTGTCTCACATACTAAATTCACATGAACATATGTAAATCTATCTTACATACTAAATTCACATGAACATATGTAAATCCGTCTTACATACTAAATTCACATGAACATGTGTAAATCCGTCTTACATACTAAATTCACATGAACATATGTAAATCTGTCTTGCACACTAAATTCATACAAATATATGTAAATCTGTCTTACATACTAAATTCACACAAATATATGTAAATCTGTCTTACATACTAAATTCACACAAATATATGTAAATCTGTCTTACATACTAAATTCACACATATATATGTAAATCTGTCTTACATACTAAATTCACACAAATATATGTAAATCTGTTGTACATACTAAATTCACACAAATATATGTAAAGATGTCGTACATACTAAATTCATACAAATATATGTAAATCTGTCTTACATACTAAATTCACACAAATATATGTAAATCTGTCTTACATACTAAATTCACACAAATATATGTAAATCTGTCTTACATACTAAA